ACACTGTTGTTTATTTTCTGATGTTTGGAAATTTATTACTTGTAACCATATCACATAATGCTGTCACTGTTTTTCTTTTATCAAATGAAAGTGTTCTATGATGGAGCTTTACCTCACCTTTTTCTCTCTATAAGTTGCGTAACAGCTTGAGTAAACGAATTAGACTACATCACCTTCAGTGTTCGACAATTCTTTCCATGTAGCATGATCTCTAGGCACTTTTTCTTAGCTTCATGTTGTTTCAAAATGATTGTGATGGAATATGGGTGAACGATAACTATCCTACTGTTGAAGACATATATATATATATATACATATATACTAGCCATTTCATTAGTGCACCAACATCACCCACTAGAATTTTGACGTCACTATCTGGCCGGGTTCCTCTCCATTACTGTTTGTAATTGTCTGCAGAAATCCTTCTTCTCTACTGGTTTTGTGTAGTTTGCAGGAATTCAGCATCAGATAGTTGTAACTCCCTCCCCCCCCATTTAGCCATGATCCTGGGGGAGATTGGTTCTCACGGTATGAGAGCCTTTGATATTGAAAAGACTGCAGAGAACAGATTGAAATGACAATATGTCGTATGCTGAAGCCTTATGTTCCACAAAGAATCCAAGGTATGAATGATACTAATTATGTTATTAGCGCATTCCGTCAGCTTTTATGTTCATTCACTCCACGATCTCTTGGCTTGGGTTTTTTTTACAATTGACTCTAATTGTTCAGTATGTTTGGACGAAAAAAAATCAGATTTGAGAAAACGAAGGATTACTTTAGTTCTATGGGCATTCAGACCTATGCTTATTTAGTGCATTTAAAATATTCGACATGTTTTTTATATGCTTGATTGATAACTAGCGTTGTATCTCTTCACTAATATATAGATATATATATATATATATATATATATATATATATATATATATATATATATAATATTTACAAAACTGTTTCAGAGTGCTTATTTACGTCGCAGCTATGCCAACTGTCATTTTTTGTGCAACTTGGATCCTTTGTTTTTGCATCTTCGTATTTTCTATGAGAAAATTCACACTGACTATCAGCAGTGTTGTCACGTATCTTCTTGAGAATGCGATCGTAACAGTCCTATTGATTCTCTCTTGTTCTTTTTGTATATTGGTAATGGTAAGTTGAACTATTCAAGTGAATTACTATACATTGCTTTTGTAATAATTAACTGTGAAATTAATCAGGTAATTTAGATAATATGATTGACTAGTTAGCTTGATGATTTGCTTCATTGTGATAATACATCTTCATCATCATTGAGGCGTTGAGAACCCAGACGCTCTGCGCTTTTTTCTATCATACTTTTTATTTCTAGTATGTATGCTCATTTAAAGGTATGCAACCTTCAGCAGTCTATGACAAAACGTTATTAAATAAGTTGAATTATGTGTTTAAACCCAGGTGAAGTTAAATTTGCGTTTGTAGTTCAATGGTGGAATGCTCGCCAAACTACGCATTTGGTCTGGGGTTCGTTCGATTCCCGACCGATGCACTCCTGAATGCTGTTTACTTTACTGGGTGAATAGTAAGCCCGGGATAATACTAGTAACCCCTCCACGTGAGAACAACAACTTCAAACCTATGCGTTCCATTAGGGACGCAAAGGAATGAAGAACAACTAAAATGTTATTGCGTACAGTTGTCTCCTTGTTAAATACATGTATATGCCATTATCTTTATCGCTGTTATAACTTAATTAATAGTTTGTAGTTCTTGTAATATACTTCTGTGGGTTTTGCAATTGTTTATGGTTTGAAATTTTTTGCTCTATGTGATAGATTTAACTTTTCTTATACATATCCATTCATTAATAAATATTTTAATCTACACAACTGTTACGTAACTGCTTGCAGTAGATAATAATTGTAAGCACTTTTTACTGCTGAGAATATTTCACGTAACCTTTGTTTGTTTACGTGATTTCTATGTAGTAGGAATAGGGATTAAACTTGAAACGAAAACTGGAACACTAAGAAGATTTGCACAAGTAATGTATGAGTGACTGATATTTTCTCACTTTATCGAGAAAGCTGTAAAACTCAAGCAATCTCAATCATACATAGGCCGGAGGAAGACCTTATTGACTAAAATGAGGTCAAGAATGGCTTTTAGTAGTTTGCTGAGTTATCCACTGAGTCGGTAGCACGAAGGCTGTTATATCGTGTCTAGTTACCACCTGTCGTACTGAAGTCACCACACTGTCTCCCATATATATATATATATATATACATATATATATATATATATATATATATAGTGTTACTAAAAATGAGTCACTGCTTGCTGATTTCTCTGTGCAATCTGATTTCCACTTCAAAATCTCTGGAAGTACCACTTAAAGTATTCTCAGCTGCATTAAGCCGCAAAAATCCTTTTTTTTGTCTTGCGTGAAAGTATATTTCATATTTTTATTGTTTTCTGATGTCTGTCTTGAAAAAAATACCTTCTGTTCAAGTATGAAGATAGGAAAAGATTATCTTGCTTTCTTTTCTTTATCCTACTTTTTTTCCTAATCATCACTTGCATCTCGTGTTTGTATTTACATGTGTGTGTGTGTGTGCATATGTAGGTTCAAGATTGATACAAAATTAGGTCAATGAATAGACACGTATTTTAACCTACATTTTATTGATTCAATAGATTCTTTTAAGTATTACGTATATAAGCTTATCTTAGCTTCCTTTTTGCTTTAGAATTATGTATATATTAATAGTTCCCATTATAGCATGAAAAACACAGTGTTCAGTGAAGCGACTGTTTCTGATGTATTTACTATTTTAAGAAATTATATCCTGTGAGGAGATTTAAACAAAGGCGTGAATACTCGACATAATAATATTTGTATGAAATGCAGTTAAATTGTTTGTGATTCTAATCATAGTTAAATATCAAGTGGCAAAACTTGCCGTGTTTTCCTGCTAAACGTCTAAAGAAAGCGGACGCCTTTGGTAGTCACGAATTCAAGCCAGACCTTTGTGTAGGCAAGATTTATGTACAGTCTTTAGTTATGGTTTTTGTGCATAGCCGACACAGATCTTAATAAATTGTATGAGATGATGTTATTTGATTGACTGTAACTACCAGTGGAAGCCAGGCTGCGTGTTTCGCCCTATTTGGGAATTATCGTCTGGAGGTGCCTGAGTCTGCTAGTGTGTGTGTGTGTAGTGTGGTGTTCTCACTGAGACACAAACTCGGCATCCATCGTTTCAAACGCCAAAGCATCGTTACTAAATCTCTTCGAAATGCTACTTTTTACATTTTACAACTTTCTGATACAGTCTCTTTCTCTCTCTCTCTCTCAGGGAATATTAAATGCGTCGGAGACTTTCGCCTAGTTCCTACAATAAATGAATAATTTCGAAGTAATAGAGAAGATTTGTAGCTCAGGTGGATGATTTGCAATTAATAGTGTTCTCTGAGCTGGTTGGTTTAGTCAATAGAAAATGGTCAATACATATGTAAAGATGGTTACCGGGGGACGCAATTATATCACTCATGAAGAAATTTAAATAATTTCACTTTGTGCTAAATATGGCGCTGAAGATGTTGTCCAGAAGGACGACGAAAGCTCCGCAACTAAACCAATCAGCTCAGAGAACACTAATAATTGCAGATGAATAATTTGTATATTAGAGTTTGTTAACTCAAGGTTCTATCTGGAAATCTAAGTTTAACATTATTACTAAAAATGTGTTTTTTTAATTTTCACTAACTATTTCTTATTGTTTACCATTTTCCCAATTTATACAGATGAATTTAATTCCTCCTAAGCTGCCTTCATTTTTAATGTTATCAGTCTACATATCATGTGTAGTCTGTCTTATTCTTTGGGATATAAATAGTGATCTACTGGTTAGTCAGTTGTTACACTACCAATCTAGTAATCATCGAAATCCAGAAATCAAAAATCCAATCACCATCATTGATACTAATGACTTCAATGATGAGTCCTGTACAGAGAATGCTTCTGAATCGTTTACAAATGAATCAAGTGAAGATCGTTCGGCTGTTTCGGAGGTGTTTTGTCATTTGCTAATAAGGTTATGCATGTAAGCTTTTTTCTTATTCCCAGGAGCATTTTTCAATATTAGTAGTTATTTAAGTATGATTATGCATGCTGTTATAGATAGAAGGTTTTCATTATCCAATGTCAAAATAATTTACTCTGTCAATATTAGTTAAACTTTTAGTCATTTAGCACAGCATTTTCATGTATTGGGCTTTGAGCTCCATTCATAGTGTGTAACAGCCGATGATGGTTGGCAAAGGCAGCGCCGATAACAAACAGTAAAAACACCTTTACCTCTGTGGTACAGATCGATTGTAGAGAACTATTGATTCGAAAAGTTATAACCGTAAAATGAACACAATACATTTAGGAGGGGTTCAGCAGACTAAAGGAATCTCTATATTCAAGTATTCGTTTATAGGGATTTGATTGATTGCTTACAGAATTTCATCATAAGCTGGCATTGGTTAGAGGACCACTGGAAAACCTGGGAGTACTGGACAGCCAGCAGTCTCGTCCTAGTTTGTAACTCTTCATAAGTATGAACCCACTAGGGTTCGAACCCAGGACTTTCTGGTTACAAGGCGAGCTCGTGGACCATTAAGCCACTAGGACCCGATCCAATGGCCCATGAATTCTAAATTCTTCCAATTCACGACATAGCGCGACCGTTAGCCAATGTCTTCGGTGAGTATTTGTCCTCACACCCGACCTGCTGCACCCTACTGGTCACGACTTCCCACCAGAACCCCAGGTAACTACCTACCTGAATAGGGCAAGTCGCTAGTGAGCATCTCATCGATATTCAAGTATCAGTCCCGGTATTAACTGTATTACAGATAGACTTTGGCTTGTTATGTGTTCTGTTCCTCATTTACAATTGAGTTTATTATGTGAATCACGAACTTATATGCAGTTTGTGAGAGTAAAGTCTTTTGTTTCAGAATCTATTTCTGTGTAATCGATAAAACATGGATATCCCATTAAATAATCGCTTATGTTCTTTTATGATGTCCGAAGATAATTGTCTTCCGTTTACTACCTAGATAGAATGTAACTGATTAGAAAAAGAAATATCCTAACGTCTCCGTTTTTCATGATAGAACTTCTAGGATATATTTTCGGCGTTTAGTAACATTACTAGCAGCAGTATGACACACCAAATTAAAACTGACAGTGACTTGTCACCTCTTGTCTTCGCTTTAAGCTTGTTTGGCTCTAAAATAGTCGTTTCAGAGTTGCTGGCTTTTTCAAGTAACAGTATTGTTTCGAATTTCGGATCTAAAAGACTTTCCCGAAGATTTTCGCAAAATTAACAGAGATTATATAGAGGACAGTAGGCAGGGGTGTTACCATCAGACCAAGTCATAGCATTAGCTCTATCAGATCGATGACTTTTGGTTTGTACTGTTTAAAGTTTGTAATTTGCCCCCATTAAAGACCATTGCTGTAATGTCTTCAAATTGCCTTCATCGGCGCAAATGTATTCATACCTAATTTCGATGTTAATTTCCATAGCACATATCTTTACCTGCCTTGCATCTTCTTTTGTTATCTTAAGACAAATAATTACACTGTTTCTAATTTCATTGTCTAATTGTTATTAATTGGCATTTGATGCACAAAAATGGTTTATGTTAACTTGAAAAGTTACACCACCATTCTGCGTTACATGTTCATACTGTTGGTTTATCTGTGCTTATTATGAACGCCTATCGTCATCTTGTCATTTTTTTCAAGATATCTAAACCCATAGTTGTAGATGATGTTTCTTTTATTGATTGACATCGTGTTTTCATGGATATTAAGATATGGTTCATTGGTTTAAGCACCCGGCCTTTCAGTCAATGTGTTTGAGTCCCGTCCCACCTGCCTCAGCTTTGGCAACTGAGTAGTATCATTAGCCCCCACACAATAAGTGTGGCTTATACCCCCAGCACTGAGTTATTGAGGAGTAACTAACTACCTTTCATGGGTAATTTGGTGTTTTGATGTTCAGATAAAATTTGGAATATTTTTATCTGGAGCAACTCTGATATGATTTGACTTCTTACTAGCATTTTTTTCAAATACATTATATCACTTTGTTAGCTTTTCTCTGCTGCGATAGTTTCCGTGAATACTAATCCCCATTCTAATGTTCTGTTATAGTAAATCTAATGAAGACAATTAATTGTAGTATTGTACAATTACCATAAGGGCTTCAATCTGATGAAAGCTTCATTAGTTTTACTGAGAAAAAAGTGTCCGAATCATTTTTCATTTTTTGATCTAGATCTGTCTACAGTGCTTTTAATGCATTTATATGCTTCAGTTGAAAATAAAAAGGCTTATGATTAATGCATAAGACAGGCTGTCTTTTTTTTTTTACTGAAAATCACTTAATGATATAATTATGCTATTTCCATGCTTACTCACCTGTGAAATTGATACAGATTGTTTAAAGTGATTTGAATAAACGTACAGTTATGCTGTTTTTTATAGTTGTTAGCGCTGTCCATATATGAATAAACGGAAACTTATGTAACGACATATACACAACACTTTTACCATTTGATTACACTGATTAAGCAATAAAAAAATATGACAGTGTGTTTGTAAGCAAGTAATTGTGTATCTAGTCTCCTTGTTCATCCTCTTATCAGTGAGATGGATTCAACCTTGTCTATTTCCTTCTGCTTATTATTATTATTATTATTATTTTTCATTTCTAGGTTGTGCTGTGGATTAGTAAGTTTACTTGGTTCACTGGCCTACGTGACGTATTCCATGGAATTACTATCAGATAATGTGTGTCAATTGTATTCATTATTTTCACTGAAAATTTTTGGCATAGCACAAATATCTGTGGGATATCCTCAACGATGGCTGTGCGACAAGGTAGGCAGGCAGATGATTATTCTGTGTTTGATCACTTTAAAATCTTGGTATTTCAAGATAATCATATTTCTAGTCAGTGGTAACTACACTACTCACTTCGGTTCCGTTGATAACATTTAATGCATTGCATACTGGCTTCTTAATGCTAAATAACGTGTAGAGATACCTTGAGAAATATTTTGCAGATACATAGTTTTATGTGTTATTCTGTAAGTCAATTCATTCCTAAGATTTTTTTTCAAAGTAAACTTTACTGTAGTTGGAAACCAGTTAGTTAGTTAGGGATTAGAAACACAAAAAACTGTTCCTTTATTTATTTTTTCCTTGATATGAGTGAGGATTGATGGTATCACATTGGCACTTGTGTAGGATGATTACGTCACGTAACTATTACCCTTTCCCTATTCAATCAATGCGTCATAATCCAATAACCCTGGTTTTTAAAGTTCTGTTATACAGTGACCTTAGTAATAATAATTCCCTTGATACTTGATTTTTTGATGCCTTCGACTATGGCCTTTTATTTCGATGAATGTTTAACCTAGGTGTCTGTTTTGTGTGAACCAATGACTAATAGTGTAAATATTGACAATTCTGAAATGTAGGTGTTAAAGTATGAGTATAAGTTTTGTTCATCTGTTTAAACTATCATACTTTCTACAAGAGATGGTACAAGAGAGCAGTGCTTGCGCATACTAGAAGTGTCAAATTTCAGCATATATATATATACATATCAGAGAGTGAACTTGTTCTATTTTGTTAGAAATAGACTGACACTAAACTTACGATAGTAAATTTAAGTCCTGGAATGTGATGAAGGCGTAAAATGTTCTCAGCCTACACGTAAATCTATTATTCCACTACTGTACTTTGTTGATTGATTGAAATCATTTAAACTGACATAAACACTTACAGGTATCCTTTCGTTTTAACATAGTTCTATGAGCATCTCTTTTTTCACTTCCTCTGGTGCGCTATTTCAGATTTTGATAACTTAAACTGATACACTGCTGTACAATATTAAATGTTCTTCTGTTTGTGTGTCTGTTGTAATCCATATTAGTATTTCCTTACCCTTTTTTGGGGGTAGATTTATTTACTTGCTGGTGGTAATTTAATTCATATACTATCCATCCTTATTTTTAACCTTTTGTATTTCATGAGCATTGCTCATTTCAGATGGAAAACATAATATTATTATTGTTCCCTTGCTTTCCGAGTGTAACATAGGGCTTCAACAACACATCTCCACTTTGTTCTGTTATCTGCCGTCCTCTTCAGCTGGGTCCGCGATTGACCAAACTCTCTCATCTCTTCTCACACGATCTCCTCCATGTCACCCTCGCACCGACGACCCACACGTCGCTTCCCATTTGGATTCCACTCGAGCACTGGCCTGGTGTGCGATTTCATTCGGTGGCCTCCTTAATGTATACCCTATCCATCTCCACTCTCTCCTACATATTTGTCGAGCGATTGGCTGTTGGTTGGTTTGTTCCCATAGTTTCTTGTTGCTTATTCTTTTTGACCGTCCATTTGATTTTCAGTATAGAGCCAGCGAAGGTGGCAGCTGTTGATGAAAGTCTGCGCTCTGTTAGAAATCTTTTTCGTAACTCGCAGTTCAGGTTTCTGATCCGTATAGAAGAACTGACTTCACAATGGTGTTGAAAATGCGAATCTTGTTCCTTATGCTGAGGGCGGAAGATTTCCAAACTGGTTGATGAAGGCGTATCTCACCTTTCCGATTCTGGCTGGCTGGCTGGCTTTGACATCTTCATCCGTGACGTGTGCCTGTAGTTGAAACGATGCTTCCTAGCCACATAAGTGAAGGAGGTAACCTCTGTTAAATCTCTCCCTTTGATGGTGATTGGTGGAAATTGTTGTTGCCGTTGATAGGTTAGCTTCATCACCTCCGTCTTCTCTATGTTCACCTGGAGTCCTGTCTTTGCCTTCTAGCTCTTCCGCCTCTTTGTTGGTTTTCGCCCGTAAGTCTTCTAGTTTCTGTGACATTAAATATAAACCATCCACACGCGAAGTCTCAATCGTCTAGAGTCTTATCGTAGGTGGGCCAGTCTCATCCTATCTTCTCACTTCCAATGCACAGTCCACCACAATTAAGAATATCATCGATGATAATAGGCAGCCAGACTTGTCTTACTCCTGT